TTATCAGAGATAAGACACAGGTAGGAAAGAAACAGCAATTTTTCAGAAACATAGTTAAAAAAATTTCCTCCCAAATAAAGACACAGAGGACAGTAAGAAACATGTTGAGGTGCATACTGTGGGGATGATATATGTGAGTAGCATTCATTTCTAAAATGTTGGCAGCTAATCAAGAATCAGAAAAAAAGACTGTCACTATTATTGCCAGTTATATCCAAATACTCTGAGGAACAATAAGAACTCTTAAGAAAGACAGCAGGATGTGAAGTGATAATGGTTTCAAAATATAACAAAAGGTCTTAAAGCCAAGATCTTGAACTTTTCACCAGGGAACAGCAGTGAGCAGACTACAATTTCAAAAAGAATCAACTAAAAAGCAATCACCTGTGTGTACAACAGTAAGAAAAAAGTTCTGATGAGAAACAGTCTTTTGTCCCTGCTTACCTAGAATTTATAGAATAGAAAGAAAACTAAAATTCAAGATTATACATCACAAGCTTATATAGAAGGTGTTTGGATGAAGAGCTCATTGCTATCTGGGGTAGTTAGGATGAATAGTATAGACGAGGGAATAATGGGAATGCTTTAAAATATTGTTAGAAGTAGAAAGAAATGAGACAAGAGAGCATGCCTTAAAACATATGTTGAATCTGAGGGGGATTGGGAGGGAGACAATGAAGTGGGGAGGAAGCAAAATGGGCTACAGTGGAGGACTATGGGTGCCTTGGTAGTGGGTGTGGTGGGGTAACACCTATACCTCTAAATTATAGTGGGAATCCTTTAAATGTAAAATATTGATAAAATGCTGCTATGTGAAATTCCAAAATAGATATGAATTTACTAGAAATTCAAAGTAAACTGCAAAACAAGCCTGAAGATGGACTTTTTATCCTAAGTCTTTAGAAAAAAGAGATATTTCACCCCAAGCAGTCCCGAATTTAAATATTCTAGGATGACAATCTAACTAAAATTAGATTTTGGTCTCCACAGCTGAAAATTATTTGAAAATTGACATTGAAGAAATGAGAACCCCTAGAATATAAGGTTGACGATGTATAATAGTAAGTGTAAGTGGAAATTAAGACTTTGACAAAAATGCCCACAAAGTAATGATGGAAGGTAGGCAGTAACTTTTATCCAAATGAAAGGAAGTGTGCCCTTTCTTGGTTGGAAAATACTAATTATCAAAGACTTGGCAGAAGTCTACCACTCCTAATTGCATGAAATTAGAAAACTGACATTTCTGAAAATGGTAATGATCAAAACTACATAGTACAGTTAAATATCCTCCTACAAGGTAACCCTTCTGGTAATTTGTTCTTCATCACTGAAAACACTTCACTCTTGCTATTTCTCTATGAAATATTTCTGTAGCCATTTCTTGGAATATAGTTTTGCATGTTCAGAATCACCTATATTTTGATTTGCAAACTTATAAAGGTAAAGGATCATGAATAAGAAGTTTGACTTTTTCCCGTTATCAACAAATGGTGATTATGTGGATAGTGTTTGGAATGTTTGGGAAAAGCTTAGAAGTAGGTTATTCAGATAAATATTTTTTATTACATTAATTTTCAATTTTTGGTATTGCTACTAAAGTGCTTACAACATTGCATATGATTTAGAGGTACAAGATCACCCCCTTCAGGTGTTGTTACCATACCACTCCCACCTCCAAGATAGTCATACACTTCCTGACCATTATCCTTTATTTTTAATTGAGGTAACATTGGTTTACAACATTGTTTATAGTTCAGAGGTATAGGTTCACAGCATTTTAAATCTTATACCACATTATCAAAGCACCCACAGTGTTCCACCATATTCCATTGGGTCCCCTCTCCTTTTGTTACCCACTGCCACACTTCCCCTTTGGTAGCCTTAATTCTACAGTCAGATTTCTAAGGCTTGTTGTGGTGTAGTTTTCTCTGTTCCTTTGCTATGTTTCTCTGCACTCCAAATATGAGTGAAATAATTGTCTTTCCCCATCTGACTTATTTCACTTAGCATAAACTCCCCTATTTCCATACATGTTGTGGCCAAGGGCAAGATTTCATCTTTTTTATGACCAAGTAGTATTCCATTGTGTATATATACCACATCTTGATCCACTCATCTGGGCACTTAGATTATTTCCATAACTCGGTTATTGTAAAGAGTGCTGTAATGAATATAGGAGTATATATATCCCTTCATATTAGTGGCTTATTTTTTATTCTTTGCATAGGTATCATGGAAGAAATGAAAGTAAGAATATGGCTACCATGATATTTTATCAGTATATGTTTACATAAGACTCAAAATTGGAAAGATATCTTCTGGACAGTTTCTGTATATTCAGTCATAAATTTTTTAACTGAAAACTGTATGTTAAATGATACTTTCCATTAAGATGTGAGCATTATTTGCATTCCCATGGCCTAATAAATTGATGGTGCCTAAAAGGTATGCAAGGGAGTTTTGCTGAATGAATGAAAGAATGATCTTCAACACTTTCAATTTCAGATATAATGGCAAGGGGTAGGAAGAATGTCTGACTTAATGCTATATATTCTTCTTTTAAAATAATTTTTAAAGATTATTTATGTATACAAGAGCTGGGGTGTAGGCCAGAGGTGAGGGGACTGAGAAGATTCACCAGAGACACAGTGGGGAGCAGAAAGGCAAACTAACTGAAATATTCTGCTGAGGGGAACAGTGGGTGAGACAGGAGAAGTCTTCTGCACCATGTGGGTCAACTCCCTGGCTGGGGATCAAACTCATGCTGCAGTAGCTGCGGATAGCTTCATAGTGCTGACACTTATCCCCTTGCACCACCAGGAAGGCCCCTGACTTAACGCTATATATTGCTAACATATAAAAATTATCACATAAATGTGTCTTGTTTTTTACAAAAAATTACATCAATGTGGAAGAAAGCCAATGGAAAAGAAAAAGGCAAAGCCACTTGCTGTTTTTCTCTAGTGACATTCATAATCAGTTATTCAAAATGCCATACATTTTAAATCAAAAACAATTTATCCTTATACATCTAATTGAATGACTATTGAGGTGTTTTTCAATACCATGGAACATTTGGTTATCCAATATGTTTACATTTATAAAAACTAAAAACAATAACTCAGATCTAAATTTAAAGTCCAAAAGTAATGGTGTATATAATAATTTTTAGAGGAGTCATTCTAACAAATTTATTTTATTCTGATTAGCCACATATCTATTGGTTATAAAATATCATCTATAATTTATATTAATAGTTTTGACATTTCAATTAAAATTGAATCATTCTTCCAAAAGTTTGGTTGATTTTCAGATTTTGACACAAAAACTTGGTTGCATGTTTATATAATTTTTATTTATTTCATTTATTCTTTGGCTGCTCAGGACAAAAAAGGAATGGCAGGGGAGGAGATGAGGGTGGAGAGAGACAGGGAACAGAGAGAGAGAAGGAGAGAAGGAGAACAGAGACAGGTAGAACAGAGAGAGACAGGAAGCCTATATAATTTTTAACATTAAATGTGGGTCTGTGAGTGTGTTTGGATTATGGAAAGGATCTTTAATGATTCAACTAAAACTTTTCTTCATTGAAAGAATCTTAATATAGAAAGGTATAGATTAACAAATAATTCATGCTTATCTATAACCAAAGGAATTATTTTTTTAATATAAAAAACGAGGGTAGGGTCCTGCTTGGTGGTACAAGGGATTAAACACTGCACTGTGACGGAATCTGCACCCTCTGAAGCATAAATTGGATCCCCTGCTGGCCAGGAGATACCCACATGGTGCAGCAGACCTCTCCTGTCTCGCCCGCTGCTCCCCTCAGCAGTGTATTTCAGTCAGTCTGCCTATTCTGCTCCCCACTCTGTCTCTGGTGAATCCTCTTACACCCCCACACCTCTGGCCTGTACCCCAGATCTTGTATGCATAAATAATTAAATCTTTAAAACACACACACACACAAAAAAAAAAAAAAAAAAAAAAACAAGGGTAAAACAAACTATGGACTAAGAGATTTGAGCCACACAAACAAAACAGGTCTCCTGCAGAAGAGCAAATTACATGTGGGAAAATAATGCATTTCATTTATGACTTTAAAAAATCATTTGAAGGCCTCCCTAGTGGCTCAGAGGGTTGAGCGTAGAGCTGTGATGCTGTCCTTAGCGTCTGCAGCGCAGGTTCGATTCTGGGGCCAGTCAGGGAAAGCCCTACATGGCGCGGCAGACCTCTCCTGTCTCACCCGCTGCTCCCTTCAGAAGAGTATTTCGGTCCATCTCTCTCTTCTGCTCCCTACTCTGTCTTTGGTGAATCCTCTCACCCTCCCATGCCTCTGGCTCTTGTGTAAAAATAAATAAATCTTTTAAAAAATCATTTGAAATGGTTGAAAAGGTAAAGCAGACAGTTTTTTTTTTTTTTTTTTTGTCAAAAATTAACAGTCTCTTTATTAATCCCTGCTGACTTGGGAAGGGCTCAGTTATACTCCAGACTTCTGATAAAGTTATTGCGATGGGTTGAATTGTGTCTTTTTTTTTAATTTTTATTTTCTTTTATTTATTATTTAAATTTTATTTTTATATTCCCCTTACAATTACAATCCCCTTATTTTGACTCCTGCCCCCCAACCCCCATAGAGTGTCTCTAGTTCATAGTTGTTTGTTGATTTTGATATTTTCTTTCTTATAGTTATTCTTTTTCCTGGTCCCTTATTTAAGTTTTCTAGATTCCTGCTATGAGTGAGACCATCCAGTATTTTTCTTTTTCTTTCTGGCTTATTTCGCTAAGCATGAGCCCTTCCAGCTCCATCCATGTTGCTGCAAATTGCATGGTAAAGCAGACAGTTTAAACTCAATTGATACAATTTCTAGATGTTAATATTGTGGTAAACATGTTATTGTAAAATTATCATTGCAACATTGGTTTCTTTGTTAAATACATCCTTTGTGGTTCTGTATTCATTTGTCCCTTTTGATGACCATACATTGGTTTTACTCTCATGCTAGGTCTCGACAAAGTGCCAAAAGATCTCCCCCCTGATACCATGCTGCTGGACCTGCAGAACAATCAAATAACTGAAATCAAGGATGATGACTTTAAGAACCTGAAGAACCTTCATGTAAGATTATTTTTAGTTTTAATGCTATCTGACTCAAAGTATTTTGTTTTAACAAAACTTAGATACGGTTATGAGTACCATACGGTAAGAAATAAGCACTGAAGTCTTAATTAAATTCTCTTTAGGGTAGCAATAGAGAAAGCAAAGCATCATATTCATTAATTCCTAAAAACTCATCCAAATTTTTACTACCCCAGATATCCTTTAGTTTTTGCTTGATTTAAAAAAAATACTTTATGCCTTCATCTTCTTTTACATCTCATGAATAAAAAGCATTATCTTCTCAATTACATTTTAATTCAGTAGTGGAACAAAACAAAATGGATTGACTTTAATATTTTCTATTTTTGTGTCTTTTTAAATTCATTTTTATGAGATGCAAATAAATTTGTAAAAGCTCAAAGATTGACACCAAAGGATAAAGACATTATCATCCATATTTTGACAAATATAATTGTGTGACAAATCTATATCCCTCTCTCCTCTCTCTCTCTCTCCCTACCTACCTACCACCTACCTATCATCTGTTTTACTTTGTATTTCAGATTATGCATGTTGTAGCTTATCTGTATGCGTTTTTATGATTTCCCCTTTTCACTGTTCTATTTTTATGTAACATATTCACTCTAGCAATAAGGGTTCTAAGAAAAGAGATAGTACTCTTAACGTGTTTCATAGAAAAGACTTTACTGAAGGGAGATATGATATGGTTTCCTCTCATTAATTCAGTGTACATTTAGTATAAATAAATGCAAAAAATGAAATAACAACAGTTTTACTCTCTACATTGTATTCTAATAGGTCACTTGCTTTGTAGGCAAGACCTTTTAGGAAGGGTGTTAACCTTTGAGCATCCAGAGAATGATCATCATGGTAGTAAAGAATCTAGAAATCATATCTAATAGATGCAATTGATGGAAATATGAATGTCTAAATTGAACGAACTGAATGAAATATTTGCAGGGCCATAATTGAATTTACTTGCTTCAATTATATGGTTACAGAATTGTCCTGTTGACAACTGAGTGATATTTCAGGAAGCAGACCTTTGCTCAATATTAAAAACACAATATGAAAATTTGAATTTTCAAAAAATGGAAATTTCTTAATGATGAGTTAGCTAACTGTGCAGATAAGTTTACAATGAATTCCTAAGGAAGGGAGCATAAACATAGAAAACTCTAACTTCACACCTATTTATTTCTTCTTCCCATTATAAAAATTAGTTGAGGGGATATTAGTAAGAACAGGCAATGAACTATAAGCGAAGTATATTTATGTTATAAATATAACTATAATTATAAAACCATGGAACAGTTAATAATGATAGCATAAAATAGAATGACATAGTCAATTTGTTAATGTGTCTAACAAAAAAAGTACAGTATGATATACATTTTGAATATTAGGAGCTCCAGATAAAGGAACAGACATCATGATAAATTTCTTACCAGTGTTTTGAAAGAGTATGGGACAAAAGTTTTAGAGGATTAGCAGAATTTTGAAAAGAAGATAAGAAAAGTGAGTTTCCTATGCCAAAAGAGAGGAAAGGCGAGAACAATAAGGAGCAGACAAATAAAAATACAAGTTGCTAGAGTGAGAGATATAGACTAAAACAAGGGAGGACAAGGCTTGAACTGGAGATTTCAAAGCTTGGGCCAGTGCAATCCATCACCATTGTTGTAATACAGGACTTGAGTCCTTACTCATTTTTCCTTTCTCTTTTTATGTTATGATTTTACTGGGATGAACTGGTGGTGATCCCAATAGAGTTTGTCAATAACTACTTATCAGTAAGTTAAAAGAGGTTGTAATAAAAAAAAGAGCATTGTTACTTTCAATAAATTTAAAATCTCAAAAAGCTTCATTTAATTTTAAGTTTACAGTAAAGTCAAATCTTTAAGAAATGAATATCCTTCTACTCTAATCCCAACTTCCTGTGTATTTAAATATAACCTGAATAATTTAAGTGCTTCATAGCCTTAAAGAAGAAAGATCTAGTCTCTATGATGTCCTAATTAAGTTTGGCAATATAATAATGTGTTCTTTTCTTTCCAAGACTCCTAAGAGTATGTTGTAGCAACCATCATCTTGGCAATCTTTTTCTACTTCAAAGTATTCAGCAGAAGACGAGAGTTTATTAGAGCTTCCAACCACTTAGTGAATGTTTAACTGCTGTTTTTCTTACTCTCTCATTCATGATCATTTCTATCCTTGTTATTATGCAAATGAACATCATTCATTTCCACCAGGAAAACCATACTTGAATAAGGAAGAAATGAAAATTTAGTTAGATGTGAAATAGAAAGAATTCAACATAAAATGTTCTTTCTTTTTTTTTTTTTAATGGAGGGGTTTTCCATACAGAAATTTTTGTTAAAGATTTATTTATTTATGCATACAAGAGCTGGGGTACAGGCCAGAGATGTGGGGGTAGGGGGACAGTGAGAGGATTCACCAGAGACAGAGTGGGGAACAGAACAGGCAGATCCACTGAAATACATTGCTGAGGGGAGCAGCGGGCGAGGTGGGAGAGGTCTGCTTCACCAGGTGGGTTGCTCCCTAGCCAGCTGGGACTCGAACTTGTGCTGCAGAGGCTGCGGATTCCTTCATAGTATGGTGCTTAATCCCTTGCACCACCAGGGAGGCCCAAAATGTTCTTTATTTTCAATAATTTTACTAATTTACAACTCTGTGACTCACTGTGTATGGTACATGTTGTGTTAAGAGTGGTTTTATATCTATGTATTAGTAAAAAAAAAAAAAAATCCTAATCATGAAACAATGGAAAATAGAGTATGGTAATATGAACTTTCTTTGAATTAAAACATAATAAATCTAGTAGAAAATTGTTATTTTTCATTAAAAATCAACAAAAAATTGTCAAAGATTCAATAATAGGACACACTTGCCTAACAAGTGTTATATATTAGGCGCTATTCTAGGTACATTATATGCATTTAGTAAATTACTTCTTACAAATATTATTTTTAAATAATATTTAACAATATTATTAACCTCTTTATACATGTGGGAACAGCCGTGCAGAGAGGTTCATTTACTTGCTCAAAGTGACAAGGAAAATCGGAGTCAAAGTTTAAGATCTAAACTCAGGAGCAGTCTAACATTTTACTGTTACTAATAACAGTTAAAGTCTGTTTACTAATAATTGCTTATTACTATTAATAACCATAAAAATATTTAAAATAATATCTGGTAGAGTGTTAACCCTGAATACATGACATTGGAGAAGATTGTATATTATTGAGTCAGCACTCAATATTTTATATAAAATTAAATAATGTTTACAAAAAGTATTTGAAGCATATAATCATGTCAGACTTGATAATTTTCTCTTCTGGCTTTAACTTTACTGATATTTCCCAAACAGCTTGCTTGTTAATATCAATTTCCTATAACCTCAGCATTCCTATTTTTTAACTTTCTGGAATATTCATTGAAATTTCTTAGAATTTGGTTTTAATCAACTAATGCCTCTTTTAGCACTAGTTAAGAGATCATATTGCTTGTAATAAGTTTTAATTTGTCAACTATATGAGCTGCATGAGAACTTTCATGGTTAATGAGCTAGCTTTTACCTTCAAAAAACATTCTTACATTTCTGAGATTAAAATCTCTTGCTGTTTTTTTACTCTGGTTTCCTTTTGGTCCTTTTGTATTTTCATGTATACATAAAAGCATAATATTGTTGAAATTCAAAATGCAAGTTTCTATAACGTTGATAAAATTATCCTACTTCCGTAAGATTAGTTGATAAGGCATATTAAAATTTTTAAAAATGTGTAATTCTGTAGATATACAGATCATTGAAACAGATTGTGGTAGTACAAAAATAGGCTTAGCAATAGCTATACATTTAATAATAATGGATTAATAGTAATTTCCTATATCCAGAGAACTCAAATTTTTATACTGCTGAAAATACTTAAAACCTTTATATGTAAAAAGGGCTAAAACAGAATACAAATATATTAAAGCTCTGTATATCATTTAACTACATCTTTATTCTGTAAGACAGTTATTAAGACATACAATTTAATTAAAATGAGAAGTGTTGTGATCAACAATTTTTCAAAAAATTCAGTAAATTGTAGCAAAATAAAAGGAAAACCTGTTTAGACTTCCAAGTGACATGGAGATGCAAGATACAGCAATGAGCTACACTAAAATTTACTAAAATGGCAAACTTTGGGGTAAGGATTATAACTAAATTTATGAAACTGCAAGAAAATTTTATCATCTTGCATTGCTGTTGATAGTACAAATTGGTGCCACCCATGACAGTGGAATCCATGACAGTGGTCCATAAGGATGGACTTTTAGGTTGAAAAGCTAATTGGGTGATGAGTGCCTGTGACCCTGGATTTTTCTTCAGGTTATTCTCATTTTCAATCTTTAGGAGAATTTGTTATTTTATAAATAGATATATAGATATAGATAAAAAAGTAACTATATTTCATCTATTCCCCCCTTTATTCCTGACACCCACATCCTCATACTCTTCATGATCTGCTTAATTATGTTCTGATTACTCTCAATTTTGTGGATTCCTCTGTTAAGTCCATGAATACAATGGATAGGTTGTTATACTTTGTTTTATCTCTTTGTGGATGGTCTTGGAATTAAGATGATGCTTTTATTTACTACCTACAGTCATTGATTCTTGTCAACAACAAAATTAGCAAGATCAGTCCTGGAGCATTTGCACCATTGGTGAAATTGGAAAGACTTTATCTGTCCAAGAATCAGCTGAAGGAACTGCCAGAAAAAATGCCCAAAACTCTTCAGGAGCTGCGTGCCCATGAGAACGAGATCACCAAAGTGCGAAAAGCTGTGTTCAGTGGAATGAATCAGATGATTGTCATAGGTACAGATATTCTTGTAATTCTAAGACCAGGATTCAAGGTTCACCTAAAAGATCCCAAGTAACTTTTAGCTGCAGGATGGTAAATTAGCTGAAATTTATTTCTTAAATCTGTAGGAATGACAATAGCAGGTTTAGGAGAAATGGGATTTTGAATGCATTCCTTGTTCTTGATAACCTCATAATGTGAAGAAATCTCTGGGCTACACTACCCCCCCCTATTTATTACATGTCCAAGAGGCAGGATAGAATTAAATGGTGTTTAATGAGTGATTTTTGGGGGGATACTTTTCCACTGTGAGGTTTTGTTATATTCTGAACCTCTTTTTTTAATAAAGATTGATTTATTTATGCACACAAGAACTGGCCAGTGGTGCAGTGGGCATGAGAGGACCCACCGAAATGGGGAGCAGAACAGAAGGATTGACTGAAATACACTGCTGAGGAGAGTAGCAGGCAATCTAGGATATGATATGTCTGCTGCGCCATGTTGGTCAGCTCCCTCGCCAGGGATCGAGCTTGTGCTGCAGTAGTTGTGATTGCTTCATAGTGCACCACCAGGAAGGCCCCTATTCTGAACCTTTTAAGCATGCATTCCTGTGTTTTGTTTTATGTATGGAAAAAAATAGTAACTTTCTAATTGGCTTTCAACATGTTAGATTCAAATTAGTTAATATTTGAAAGTATCTTAATAAGGGAATTACTTGTGACTTGTAAACATCTGATCCCGTTGATTTCTAGGCAAAACTATGTTGACACTTTTAAATCATTTTGTTGTTGATAGCTTTGCCACTATTTTTTCCTCATAAATCTTTGTTTCCTGGTCATTGATTTAATAAGGGGGATTTTTACCCATTTTGCTATTCCTGTGAAGTGTATATCCTTTAATTTCTCTTTTGCTTTTCAGTCAAGTTGTACTGACACAAATTTCTGTTAATGCTGAAACAGTTCTGCTTGGAATATCCTAAAATTGTTCTCTAAAAGCTTTGCACTTACTGTCTTTATAGAACTGGGAACCAACCCTCTTAAGAGCTCTGGAATTGAAAACGGAGCCTTCCAGGGAATGAAGAAGCTCTCCTACATTCGCATCGCTGACACCAATATAAACACTGTCCCTCAAGGTATGGAAAGTTCTCCAAAGGAACTTGAATATCTAATTCCATTTAAGTTACATTTAAAACACAGTTTTGGAAATTTGAATGGGGCTCAAGTGTGTCTACTGATGCTAAGTAACCCCTGCATCCTCCAAGGTCAATGTAGAGATGGCCATGCTCTTTTCACCTAGAAAATTCCTTCTAAGATGAAACTTAAGAGACAATAATGTCATATTATAAATTTATGATATCCCAAAGCAAAAAGTAAAGGTTTTTAAAAGATAGAGTGCCTTAGTGGTACTTTGTTAAAAATTAAAAAAAAAAAAGACGATAATGCTTGGAAGTAACTCTGAAATTGAGTCAACTTTTACTTTGAATCTCTAAGAATAATTGTGATGTCCTAATATTTATTCACAAGAATAATGCATCTATTGTTTCATTTTCCTCAGATAAGAACATGTTATTTTAATTTCCTTTGGTCACCTGAGAGTAGATTATATTCTCTATTTAGCAGCTAGGTAACATACAATATGTGTAACTTTGAGTCCTACTTTCTCAGTTATGAAATGGGATTATTGAATGTAATTTATCCATGGAAAATTAAATGAACTAAGTTTGGAAGAGTGCTGTTATCAGTTTTGGGGGGCATATAACAGATAACTAATATGTAGAAGTTTCTTTTCTTAGCATCTCCTATACAAAATATACTACCACAGAGAAAACAATAATGAATTTCAAATCAAATATGGGCTACACTTTTACATTAAATAGACATTGTTGAAGGAATTCAGTGGGGTACAATTAAAATTTCACACCAAATATAATTTGTGACTCTCTAGTTCCTCATGGACAAATAACCAACACTTTCTGTTAAGCAGATGTTAGTTCTAAATGTAACCCATTTGCCATTTTCTTTGAAGTCATTGCTATTCTTGTAATTGGAGCAATATGCTATTTAAAAAGCTGTGTAAAAACACAATACGTCCTCAGCTGGCAGGAAGAAATCGAAATAAAATCTTTAAACTTTCATATTTTGTTGCTAAATTTTTAGAAAGCACAGCTACTCAAGAAATACTATCCAGAGGTTTAGTGGATATTTGGGATCTAAAATTATTTCCCCAGGTGCTTTAACATATGGTAGATTCCTTGATTATAAGCCTGTGCACTCCTTTTGTATAAACAGTTTGATATAAAGTCATGTAAATTAGAGCTTTCTACACATGTTGCAGAGGCATGGAAACATGTAAAAGTGAAGATAAAGGTCAGCACATTAAATCATTGTTAATTATTAATGAGGCCCATTCATGAAATACCTGGTGAAATTCACGAATAGGTTTCATTTATACATAGTTTCTTTGTTATATTTCAAATGTTCATCTCTTCATTTTCCAATTGTCATCCTTTGTCAGTGGCACTGTTAGTCTATTAATGGTATGAGAAACTAAGTTGGAGGGTTTGACTTCAGTTCTACATGGGATACTAACAATGATTACGACAAAAGGCTATTACAGGAGCAACACAGCTATGTGTTTGTTAAGATCAATCTAGGAGAAAAGTAGAAAAAGTGCTTGCACCATTTCCAAGGTATATATAACTATAAATGGGATGAAGGAAAGAGGGGAAAAGCAATGCTGATACTTTGAAATTGTATATCTTATTGAAAATCATGACATATGTCCTAATAAAGTCTTTCTGAGTTCTGTAATTATGCGTCTATAACACCTTATTTTTCCATATTCCAGGTCTTCCTTCTTCCCTCACTGAATTACATCTTGATGGCAACAAAATTACCAAAATTGATGCAGCCAGCCTGAAGGGACTGAACAACCTGGCTAAGTAATAATATTCTTTCATGACATTCTACTAGTAAATAGCTAGGTGTATTAGAGCTTACATGCTCAGAATTAGAAACATCATGATTGATTTCATTTTACTATGCCACATATTGTAATTTCTAATAACTTAAATATCAGCTTGCCCAATTATTTCTTTATAAAAAGTAAATGAAATAGTATATAGTATATTTGTCTTATCTACCAATATCAGTATTTTATGAATACATACAATTTTTAAATTAAGGAAAACTATTTATAAGGTGTTTGATTTAATCAGTATGTTCATTCAATACAGTCTAACACAGATGCATCAAACAGAAGGTTAAGTAAATTATAACAGTGTCTAGATTTTTAAAACTACCAGGAATTGGAAAATACTGGACATCCCACAGTATAGTATTAGAATAGTTGTGAGACTGTGTAGCTACTATTCTCTGAAGAATATCAAGTATCTCTGGACATTTAAAGCAAATTACCAAAAGAATTTTTTTTCTGGCTCTTAGTTATTTTCCTTATAAATGATTATTAGCACTATCATGCCTTACAACCTAACTTCAACCTTTCTATATTTGCAATCTGGTTAAGTAATAAAAAGAGGAGAGTGCTGACAAGCTATTTCGGTTTCAATCTTCAAGGAATACTCTGTTCCTGATCTTCATCTCTCTCCCATTGTTGAATGTTCTTACAGAGAATCTCAGAGTAAGGTCAAATTGGCTTACTCCTTTCTCTATGTAATTTTCATGGTAAATAAATAAATTGAAAGTATGCCATTTAACTTTGAGAAATACCTAAGACAAGAAGATTATATCACGCAGCTTTTCCAATTTCCGTCGATACTCTCCGATGACCCAGTGGCTAAAAGTGAGCACATGTATGTGTAATACCCTGGTGTCTCAAGGAAGAAGAATCCTTTATTTAAGACTATTGTAATCACAGTCTATAATGTAGAAAATTTATTTAGCAGCAATACTATGCATCATCTACTTTTCTGATTGTGTCACTCTAGCTGCAAAATAATGTGGGAAGGAAAGTTTCATTGCTTTTTGTGTAGAGCTGTTTTTAAACCAGTTATTACTATTGGATTAGTTAGTAGGAGTAGTAGCATTAATAGTAGTAGTCATGCTAGTATCAGTAACACTAGTAGGGAATATTATTCTAAATTTCTAAAAACAGCAAATCATAATATGTGTACTTTTTAGAAAAGTAGTTATTTGGGAATGAAAGTGATATGAAGATTTAGAGATTCTATAATATTAATATATTTTAGATCAAAGAGAGTCATAAAGAGCCAATAAAGTTGGAAAAGATCAATCAAAACGAAAATTTTTCTTTAAATGGATTTTGAAATCCATTTCTTAAATTAGAGCAGATTTTCTCATTGGCTAATCAAACTTTCCTAACTATTTATCAAACACTTTTCTTCATGGAACAAAATCCAGGAAAATCTATTACGCCCTCCAATCCTTATGTTGTTTTCTCCTCACTGATATTAAATCATGCGAAATATTTTGATGTTAAAATCAAAACTGTGAAAAGAATCAAAAAAATTGAGCTCATCAGAACATTGTTGTAGGCCAATATTCAATATCAGTAGTTATTAGGATCTAGTGGGGAGAAAATACTATATATCCCACTGCAAAATATAAAATGGTTATCAGGCAAATTATTCTTTTCTTATTAAATATATATTTAAAAATATATTCTTATATATTCTTATGAAATATATGTGTATATATCTCTCTATATAGACTTATATACTTAATTATATAATTCTATATATACTTATTAGTATTATTTATATATAATTAAGTGAAATATTCTTTGACAGAAAGAATTGTTAATTTTGAGTCATGTGTTCCTTACCCTCACAAATCTAGGATAATATCCTAAATATAGGAGGTTAATTTGTAAATTGAATATATAGACTTGTTACTTATATAAAATTTATCATGGGAAAAATGATGTTTCCTTGAATATATTATTAGAACTATTCTAAAATCAATCAACTCTGCTACTACTAGCTTAAAATCCAGTAAAAAATAATCTAAATTATTTCAAATATCAGCTCATTATTAAAATTGGGATACTTTGGTTACCTAAGCAAGAATCTCAGTCTCAAAAGGACTGGAAGGAGTAGCTGAACGCAAGTGGAAACAATCTTACAAAAGATGTCTAAGTCTTTTCCATTGTATTTGAAGGACCCCAATAGAGCCTTTCACCTCTGGAGCTTGCTGGTGCTTTTCCCTTACCTTGTTGCCTTATCCCAGCATTCCAGCTCTGTCCTATGAGATTGGCAGCAGTTGGTTTCAGCAGAGATTCAGCTCTAGAATGCTTAGTACACCAGTTTTTTCTTCAAGTCAACACCTAACTTTTGAAATCTGTTTAATATAAGAAAACACCATAACTATAGAAATTGCACTTGTTATACATTTAATTGAGCATACAAACACCAATCTTGAGTGGTATTGTATGAGAAGTGTCAACAGAGCCAAGAAACAGACTAGTCCGAGGTCAGATCAGGAGCCAGACGTGTTGGAACCAGGAAAATTCTGACAGAAACAGATGATCTTTGATGAACCAGAGCAAAACAGTAATTGTGTTAGCCTTTTTCTTAGGTAGCTTTATTGACTCATTAGAACCTTGTAAATTTTATTTCCAGTGAATATATGATATACAATTGCTTGATTTCGAAAGTGACCAAAGTAATAGTATTCCTTTCAGTTTTCGCTCATGAATACATTACATTCATAATACATATAAATCTATTCAACTGTGTTCATTGATTATGCCAAGCTCTGCTTGGTCACCCTTCTCAAGGAAAAACACGCACTGCACAAAGTGCCATGCTTTTTACAAGAGGGTGGCATAGGGTGCATTTACTAGGGATACCTAACCAGCCTGGTAATGTCAAGAGGTGTTAAAAATAAATGGGTGTATCCAAGCCCAGAAAATTTGGAAAAAAGCATTTTATTTATTTATTTTTTTTTTAATAGAGGCATGCTTTATTTGTTTGCTGGTTTGTTTTGTTTATACATGCACTGGGTACAGTCCGAAGTGCGGGAGGGAGGGTGAGAGAATTCACCAGAGCCAGAGCGGGGAGCAGAGCAGGCAGAAGGACCGAAGCACACTGCTGAGGGGAGCAGCGGGCGGCAGGAGAGGTCTGCACGCCATGTGGGATCCTCCTCCGGTGGCTGGGGAGCAGCCGGGGATCGAACCGGCGCCGCAGAGGCCGCGCGCAGCTTCACAACCCAGCGCTCAACCGCTGCGCCACCGGGGAGGCCCTGGAAAAAAGCATTTTAGTAAGAGGGAACAGTAAATGAAAAAAAAAAAAAGTCTATTTCTATTGACCAGTCACTCAGGCATCCATCTGTAACTATAAGCAATCATTTCTGGTTTCTGTTGCAGGTTGGGACTGAGTTTCAACATTATCTCTGCTGTGGACAATGGCTCTTTGGCCAACACTCCTCACCTGCGGGAACTTCACTTGGACCACAATAAGCTGATCAAAATCCCTGGTGGGCTGGCAGAACATAAGTACATACAGGTAATGCAATTCTAGAAAATACTGTGAGGGATATCTAGGGAATAAATCCTCCTTATGGAATGCTGTGAGGCAAGAAACTCTCTTTAGAAATCTTTCTGCAAAAAATATTTTCAATGTTTTCACATGAATAATAATTCTGCCTTTGTGAAAAATAGGCACTTAAATTATGTTTTAGTTAAGACTATTCCATCAACTATTCCAAGTTGTTGCGGAAATCAATTATTTGTTGCAGTTTCTGAGGCTTTATTTCAATTCCAATACTCTATGCTGCATTTTTTTTTACTGTCTTATAGTCTCCTTTTATATAATATTATAAAAAGGTCTATCATTTTATCTTTGACCTGAAAATGTAATATTACATGTAAATATCATAATTTACTAAGTAAACATTACTTCATGTATTCATTCAACTTATGTTTATTGAACACTCACCATGTTTTAGTAGGCAATGCCAATGTAGTTTTGACCAAAACAGGACAGTCACTCCTCTTGTAGACCTTTTATTCTAGAAGAGGAAACAAATACAAATATATAATATGAATATAGTGATACTTGCTATAAAGGAATATAAAGATATGTAATTGAGACACAGAATAGCAGCATGGAATGGTCAGGAAATATTTCTCTGTTAAGAAATGAATGACATAAGGCAGCAACCCTTACAGACAACTTGGAGAAGATTTTCTAAGTGAAGAAAAATATTGTGTTCCAATCTGAACAGGGACAATGCTTTGTGGACTAGATTTGAGGCAAGTAGGTCAAAGTGGATGCTTTTAGCCTGAACATCTAGAATTACTGATATGCCATAAACTGGGATGGGAATACTAAGGAAGGGAAAAATTTGAAAAGGAAGAGAGAAATTGAAAGATTAAGTGTGCTGAATGGTGCCTGCCTGGTGGCACAAAGGGTTAAGTCTCAGCATTATGAAGCTAGCCACACCACTGCACCACAAGTTCAATCCCTAGCGAGGGAGCTGACCTGAACTCTGAGTTCAGCACAACTGAACTCTCCTGTCTTGCCCACTGCTCCCTTCAGCAGTGTATTTCAGTCAGTCTGCCTATTCTGCTCCCTACTCTGTCTCTGGGGAATCTTCTCACCCACCCCACCCCCCTCTAGCCTATACTCCAGCTCTTCTATGCATAAATAAATCTTAAGAAATTATTTATTTATGCATACAAGAGCTGGGGTGCAGGCCAGAAATGCGGGAGGTAAGAGGAGAGGTCTGTTGTGCCATGTGGGTCACCTCCCTGGCTGGGGATCAAACTCGTGAACCAGTGGCTGCAGATAGCTTCATAGTGCTGTGTTTTAACCCCTTGTGCCACCAGCAAGGCCCCAAATAAAGCTTTATAAAAAGTGTGGTAAAGGATTATGGGTGTGGCATGGTAACAGACATCCAAGAAGGTGTGATCCTACAGCTCTAAATCCTGTATATTGTTTTAAAATGTTATAACAAAAATAAAAAAAAAGTATTAATCCATTCAAAGTGAAGCATGACAATGCTGAAACTGAATAAAATATTTACACAAGGGGGCCTCAATAAGATATTCAGAGGGAAATAACCTTTCTCCACTACTTTATGTTGCAGGTTGTCTACCTTCATAACAACAACATCTCCGCAATTGGCCCTAATGACTTCTGTCCACCTGGATACAACACCAAAAAGGCCTCTTATTCGGGCGTGAGCCTTTTTAGCAACCCAGTGCGGTACTGGGAAGTCCAACCATCCACTTTCCGATGTGTCTATGTGCGCTCTGCCATTCAGATCGGAAACTATAAGTAACTCCCAAGAAAGCCGTCACTTTCATAACCTGGCAAATCCCACTAATGTTATTACTCGGGAAAAAAAAAAAAGATACTGGAAACCCAACTGCAATGTGGATGATTTTCCCACATGACTTATGCATAAAGCCAAATATGCAGTTTAAATAATTGCCTACAATAAAAAAAATATTTTGCCTGCCATTTTCAGAATTCTTTTTTAAAACTTTCTGTTGATGTTAACTGAACTACTACAGATATTCTTATTTCACAAAATGTAAAATTTGGAGTAAATATGTATGTAAACAACTTAGTAAAGCTTTTTCTTTCAATTTGCAGAAAGAATGAAATAAAAAGTATCACTCTTCTGTTACTTAGAGTGGTTAGCTTCTTTGACAAAGTCACTCATCAAACTCTAGCTCTGTATTAATCCCCATTATTACTGGTAAGGCCTCCTTTGAATATGTGAATTCAATACAGGCTATGTAAAATTTTTGCTAATGTCATTTAAAAAAAATAAATTCACTAATGCTTTCAAAACAATTGTATAAAAGTGTAATTATAAATCTTCCCAAAATTTAATACTCTGATGAGATATTACCTTCTTGATAAAAATAACACATTGTATGTACTCAGATATTTTTTTCTATACCCAAGCTTGACATTTGTGTATGGTAACTGACATTGTCTATGTTCAAGGTTGAGTTGATAAGGCACAAAGCCATCTTTTTCAGTTGGTCTGGAAAACTGATATTTTCAGTTACCAAGATACTAAATCAAACTATCATGTACATAACCAGGTTGTTTTCTGAACAGTTTTATAATTACTAGATATATTAGGAATATTTATTGCTTTTGGTTAAATATTTGATGTTAGACATTTTTTCTTCAATATTTAGAAACAGCTATTAAAGCAAAACATTCACCAAGCCTTGGAATGGGCTTATTTGCCAAAGTAAACATTTATCAAATAGCACATTTATGCTGTCAATATCTAATAAGCAAACAGGTAAAGATAATTTGCTTCTTCTACAACTAGGTGCTTTAATGGTTTCAAATACTAACAACCAAATCTAAAATGGTTTAAACTATAAAGGGATATATACAACAATCCTGCTAGATGAGTCTTTAGGTATAGTTTGACCAGAGATCTAGCTGAGTTTCTCTGCAATCCTTTCAGTTTTGCCTCCCTTCATTGAATTTTTAGGGTGATTTCCCTCATGTTTGTAAAATAGAATCTTCCCTATTACCCTACTCAGGACACAAAAGCATAATGCCACATATTAACATAAAATTTCTAGGAAAACTCACAAGATTCTCTATTGCATACCAGCTCCACAATGCTTTGTATTAATGTGCAAGTATTATTCTATTCTATTCCCATTTTGCAGAAAAGTGAACTGAAGAGAAATTAAATAGTTTTCCTGATTTCTTGTAATCACATACCTGGCAACATCTCACATCAGGATTTTTTTTTTTTTTTAAGATTTTTCATTCATGCATATGACAGCTGGGGTGCAGGCCCGAAATGTGGTGGTTGGGGGAGGGGGAGAGATGTGTGTGACAGGATTCACCAGAGACAGAGTGGAGAACAGAACAGGTGGATTGACTGAAATACACTGCTGAGGGGAGCAGCAGACAAGACAGGAGAGGTCTGCTGCGCCATGTGGGTCATCTCCCTGGCTGGGGATCGAACTTGTGCTGCAGTGGCTACAGATAGCTTCATAGTGCTGCGTCTTAACCCCTTGCGCCACAAAGGGTGGGCACCTCTCCTTTCTTTGTGAAAGTCAGAGTTTGGGAGGTAACAGAATTTACCCCAGGAGAGTTCAACTAAAGAGGATTGAGCGAGGGGACTCTTACCAAAAAAACAAGAGGTGGTGGGGCACCCAGCCATAGGCAATGATAGGAGGATATTCCTAACCGTGTAACTGAATGAAAAGTGAAGAATTTAGGGTTCTGGAGCCAGGTGAGAGGACAACTACGGAGCCCAGGGGGCTGTGATCCCAGAGGAATGCAACTTCTGCGACAGGTGAGGTTCTCTGTGGGGTGTCTGCTGTCTCTCCTACCTCTGATGTCCTTCCACTTCAGAATCTCACTGATCAAACCGATGACAACCAGCAAGAAAGCCAGGGAGATGAGGTCTCCTCCTGAAGCAAGACAGAAAGGAGCATATTGGCTCTGGCCAGGGCACTTGTACTCCAGCTGAGCCACGATAATCATAATGATAGGCATAGTGAACTATTCTTCCAGTCACAAGGATCAATGTAACATTCACTTATCATTCAGGTACTTTCTATCATCCCACTTATTCCAATAGAGAATTTGAGGACTGAAGTAATTCTTTCAGCCCAGAGCCTCCCTAGTGGCTCTCAGGGATTAAAATTTCAGTGCTATCAAGCTATCACCAGCCACTGTAGCCCAGGTTTTATTCCCCACCAGGGAGCCAACCCACATGAAACAGCAGGCCTCTCCTGCCTCACTGCTGCTCCCCTCAACAGTGTATTTCATCAGATCTGCCTGTTTTGCACCTGCTCTTGTCTGCTGAATCCTCTCACACCCTGCACCTCTGGCCTACACCCCAGTTCTTGTAGGCAGATATAAATAAAAATAAATCTTTAAAAAAAATAGTTTCAGGCCATCATGGACAAACATAGAATGTGAATCAGTTTTAAAATACAACCAAAGTGACAAAATAGTTCAATCAACCTGTCTGAGGCTGATAAATTCTTTTTTTTTTTAACTTTTTTTTTAAGATTTATTTATTTATTTATTTATTTATTTATTTATTTATTTATTTATTTATTTATTTATTTATACAAGCACTGGGTACAGTCAGAAGCATGGGAGGATGAGAGAATTCACCAGAGCCAAAGTGGAGAACAGAACAGGCAGACAAAGTACACTGCTGAGGGGAGCAGCGGGCATGGCAAGAGAGGTCTGCGCGCCATGTGGGACCCGCCCTGTGGCCGGGGATCGAACTGGCACTACAGAGGCTGCGGGCAGCTTCGCAACCCAGCACTCAACCGCTGTGCCACCGGGGGAGGCCCGAGGCTGATAAATTCTTAGTGCATAATATTTCATCTACTCAGTACATTTATTCAGGCCCACAGTGTACCTGACACTATCCTAGTAGTTGAGATTATGCAGTAAAGAAAGTCTTGCTCTCATGAAGCAGACATCACTGTGAAGGGGGGGTTCTGGATCAGGACAAATACAAGGCAGAAAAATAAAACAAGGCTGGAGAAGAAGGCATGTGACAAGATAGAACTTGCTATTTTTATGTAGGATGAAAAGAGAATGATAATGCAGATAAAATGATGTTTGAATAGAGATACATGGATGGGAGAAAACAAGAAAAAAGGAGCCCTAAATTAGGAAGATTCATAGTGGGTTGTAGTAACAGCCAAAAGAGCAAATGTGAACTGAGTGAAGTACAGAGACACAAGCTGTAAGGTGTGACGTGAGATCAGAGATCTAGCTCATGGGAACCCAACTCATGCCGAACTTTTAAGCAACTTTAAAGATTAGCTTTTCTCATGAGCAAAACAGGAGGCTATTGAAGGATTCTCATCAGAGGAATGGCTGGATTCAACTCTCTGTGATAGGAAATCTCTGACCACATGGATAGTGGAGGGGTCAAGAAGGACCCATAAAGGATAATCAGGATGTTACTGCAATAATCTATCAAGAGACCATGGTGAATTTTCACCTGGATAAAGCAGAGAAAGTGGTGGTGTCCTCAGAAGGGTAAGAGGACAAGGAAGGCTGAGAGGCTATGGTATATGAAAGAGAAGGAATGGAGATTGGGATGATTTCACAAATGTTAGCCTGGGAAGGTGAGTCATCATTTACTGAAACTGGGAAAGACTGAGGACATGAGGTAGAGGGTGTAGAAATAATAAATTTGGTTTTGGATCTATTCATTTTAAGACTCATTCAGTTTCCTTGTGAAGATATCAATGAAGCTTTGCCTCTAGGAATCTAGAGCTCAAGGGAGGAGGTTGGGTTGTAGACATATATTTGGAAAATGCCAGAATACAGATTTTTTTTTTTTTAATCTCCTAAGTGACTTGAATTTATCCAAACTAAGCAATCATACTGTACATGTTAGCAACACATTTAACAGGGCCAATTCTGGCCTTTTGAAATGTTCTTGTGGTTTCTAAGATAAATAAACATATTATATGTTTCCCTCTGGAGGCCTTTGCTAAGATCCTGTCAGCATTTCCAAAACAGTCCCTGCATGAACAACACTAAGAAAGAAAAGCCTCTTGAGGAGAAAGGACTTTGGATTTTTTTTTTTAAATCCCAGTGTTTTTTTTCTTACCAGTTTAAAAATGTATAAAAACAGTCCCATTTCCTTTTCCTTCAAGAGCTCACATAAACAAAAGTACAGTTTCATGCCTGCCTTGAATGTGGGTTGATAACTTGCTGGTGGTTTGACAGTTATGAATAAACAGACCTGTTCAATAAAGAAAGCATGTTGCTGAAACTGCAGGAGGTCTTACTGGACCTCAGGCACTGTACCAGCTCATTAGCTAGAAAACCATGGAAAACTGTATAAACCCCACAGCCAAAGCCATTATTCGTAAAATCCCAGCATAGATAATTCCGTAATAACTTACAACAATCACTGCTTTATAAAAAAAAATCCATGTGGTTACTTGATCTGGTATTGATATGTGAAAAAATGTAAATAACTTCTTTTGAAATAATTTAATAGTCCCCCCCTTTTCACAAAACCAGTTGTGTTTGGAGCATGGTAGTGATGTGGGTGTCCTGGCAATCTTATCATGCTCATATGAGAGAAAATAAAAATGAAATTAATTTGATCATTTACTCACTTATTGTTTTAATTCATACATTTACTCAGGACTCAGATTATGACAGGAACGATGGTAGATCTGGAAGAAATAAAGATTTTATTATTGCACTATATGTGATTTATTATCACATTGTATATATCATAATATACATTATATATGATTACATTATATGTTGCATATTTCCCTCTGGTAGAGAACTTTGAAATGTGAACATCATGTTATTTCAATGAACTTTTAAAAATACTAAAGAAATAAGAAGGTAAGTCCCAAGAAGGGTTTTTGAGGAAATGAAATTCAACTTTATTACATACCCACTCATGATTAAAATTTATAATGTTAAGCTAATTTCCTGTGACTGTCCTTGACTTCAGGAAAAAACATCTGGAACCTGTAAGAAATACCAGGCCACCTACAAATCACAGGACAAGCTTATACTGAGATCTTGGAAATGATAAACAAAGCTCATGAGAGCAGATGTTTCTGGATGCTGTTATGATTAAGCCCTTTTCACACCATCTGGACTGATATGGGTTGTTTTTCAGAGTACTCCTTTCTAGTCTTGGTAACTCTGATTGATAAATATATTAGAGATGCATTTACCTATGACGAGTAACTATAGATTTAGTACATTTCTGAAAGGGGGAGTTTGTGCAGAAATCTCTAACTATTCACCAATACGTTGGTATATTTAGCCCAGGTTTAAATGTTATTGCATTCACAAAGCACCCATTTTCTCCACTTATCTAGTGTCCATTTTGAAACTCCTTTCTTAGAAAGAATATCTTCAGCCTTATTTTGAAAAATTGAAAAACAGGTAATAATGTAAACAAGAATCTTTTTGTGGAAATGCTACAGATTCTTGACTTTGGTTCTTTTTGGCTTTTGCAAAGAGCAAACAGATTAAAGTTTTAATTGTTTTTCCTCGCATTTCCAGCCGTCTATTTTTCAGTTTTATTGTGATACGGTGGACATATAATATTGTAGAAATTTAAGTATATGACACGATATGGTATTCATAAAACATGTATTTCAAAATGATTACCACAATACATTCAGTTAACATTTATCAGTTTATATTCATTCTCTGGGTTTTCTTTCAAGCAATAAAAACAGTATCATAGCACTGCTACTTTGCACTGATGCAGCTTTTGTTTGACAAGTGCATTCACTGATATAATCTCATTGCTGTTTCACGACCAAGAATAAAATTTGGTTTATATTCTGATAAAAAGAGATGGGAAATAATAAATAACTTAAAAGGACTTTGAAAGACAAACTGAAGAATGGCATGTGATTAGACACAGGCCTAATATATTAGCTAGGGAATGAGGAGTTGAGTTGCTAACAGAATTGGGAGAGATAACGGTCTCTATTCCTACACCATAGTCTTATTTTATTCCTTTTACCCCACTGCTTCCTTACATAGTCATTCTCCAAACATTTATCTTTTCCATCATGTTATGGACTGAATATTTCTGTCCTAGAGAAGCCATCTGTCCAAACATTACTTTCCAGTGTCATACTATTAGGAAACCTTCTTTGGGAGATGAGTATTACATGGAATCATGAGGCTGGCGTCCTCATGAATGGGATAAGTGCTCTTTAAGAGCTTGCTTCACTATGCTTTCTCCTTGTTGAGGATACAAAGAGAAGTCAGCCACCTGAAACCAGGAAGAGGGCCCTCACTAGAATCTGATTTTATGAATACTGTGATCTGAGACTTCTAGGCTTTTGATGGAGGGTGAATGAAGATGCTCAGGCTTTTGTACTGTTGGCCCTTGTGGTTACAACCTGAGGCCTTGAATGCGGGAGGCGCTTGGGAGCATGGGCTCAGGGTACTCAGCCTGATGGTGGACACCTGGAGTATAGTGTGGGCGTGCTTAAGTGGGCACAACTGAGCTGAGAGACCGAGCATGTAAGGGCGGCATCACAGAGGAGAGAGGGGCAGAGAACCTTGCAGCAGAGAGCCGCGGACAATGGCAGAAAGGCTGTAAGAGGAAGAGATCATAAGACATGCCAGAAAGCCCGGAGAGTAAAGGTTTGCGGGGGCTGGGAGGGAGGACTCTGTTATCTTCACTGTGGCCCTCTGCCCCCCTGCCTGTTGCCTCAATACAATGGTGTAAAAAGAGCATTAAAATCCTGAAAAAGACATGGAGACACCCCCACCATCCCTTTGTTCTCTGCGCCCAGTGCCAGCTTGCCCCTACACTAGAACTATGAGAAATAAATTTACTTTGTTTATAAGTCACACAGTCCATGGGATTTTGTTTCAGGAGACCAAGCTGATTATCCTTCCTATGCAGAGAGAGTCAACCTTTGCTGCATGCACGAGTCAGAACAGGAAAGCACTGACTCAAAGATGGAAACCCCTGGTCAGACTCTGAGACTAGTACACGTCCAGGTCTCAGAGCTGAGGGAGATTTTACTTGATGGTCCAGGAACCCAGAGTGGAAGCCTGAATACACCTTCAGATTTGGATTCAGCTTTTGAGAGCATGAAAATCAATCTTGAAGAGTAAAAGCTGTGATCATATCAATCTGGAATAGTTTTTGTTTTTGTGTTTCCAATGTTTCCAAGCTGTACATCATTGTATCCACTTATGACATTAAGTTCAAAATGGGGGGATAATAATAAAGGTACCTATCATGTATGTTACTTAAAACAGTTAATGAAAGATGGAATCTACTTCCATTTTGTGGAGAGGGAGGGTGGGGAGAGAGAGAAGAGTAGGAGGGAGGGAGGGAGGGAGGGAGGGAGGAGGGAGGGAGAGGGAGGGAGAGAGAGAGAGAGAGAGAGAGAGAGAGAGAGAGAGAGAGAGCGCAAGAGCGAGCGTGTGCGCGCATTTGAACAGCTGGACCAAATTAGTAAACCAAATGAAATTCTCTGGGTTAGGTTCTGAATTCAGAAAACTGCAATTGTGGTGAAACAGTGCATTATTTTCAGCAAGCAAAATGAAAGATCACATCTATAGCACTGCGTTGTGTTGGTGAGTTATATGGATACCTTGGGCAATAGGCCACAGGAATTGTAAAGTATTGTTACTGATAAGATCGAAAATTAGAGCTAATGAAATTTAAAAGCAATCACCTAAAAGACTCCTCTTGGCAAAGTGAACCAGTATTTGTGATTTGCCTAGGTTTATACTAGGCATATTTACTTTAAAGTCATCTATAGTCATTGGATTTACATTTATTTAAAAACAGTATTTTTTTGAGATGATATAATCATTTCTGCATACCAAGAATATTTTCTTGAGAATAAATATAGGTGTAAAAATGAAGGGAAAGGTGCTTGACAAAATGTATCATGTCACATTTATTTAAATGTGTGATGGAATATGTAAGATACGTAATTTTATTTTCTTATACTTTCTCAGGTCTGACGCAGAAAGTATATTTCACTTCTTAAAGCTTCTATAATTGTTGAAATGTGAAAATTAAATGGTTTTCATGTTTTTGTCCAAAGTGCCCAAATAAGTTTAAATGGTAACTTCTTTATTTCTGGTTGGTATAAGGCCACATATATTAGAAAATTACATCATAATTGCAAAAGCGATCCATAAAGTAATGAATCACTTATCTGTATTTAGGAATTATTCATAATTACTCAGGAATTAGGAATTGTCTGTTAGTGAGACAATAATTTTGATATTAAATTATGCAAAACTATAACTCATCATAAATGGAATCGTACAAACAAGAACATAATCGTTTCAATGATTTCAGTTAAATCATTTTTTTTGGTTAAATGTATATAACAATGAAAATGCATACTTTTATATCATTGCAAATATAAATTATGAATATTTTATATCATAAATTTGAATAGTTATAATTTATGAATATTTTATATATCATTGCAAATATAAATTATGAATATTACAAATATAAATTAAAAATATTTCACTTTAATTTATTTAAATAAAAACATTTCTACGATATATTTCATATATAGATACTTATTTGAAATCTTGCTCCTCTACTTTAGAATTTCATCCAACATTGTTATTTTTAAGTATTGAAAAATATCCTAATTAAAAATCACTTAGTATTTTGCTATCTAAATATGGGGATTACTGGATCAAAGGCTGTGAAAATTTCAGAACATTTTGCCAAATGTTCCTTAAGAATCCTTGTACTCTGTGGATAGGTATGTAGACTGGTTCATCTCCTATGGAAGACACTGTAGAGGTTTCTCAAAATGTGCAAACTAGATTATATAATCCATGTTCTATTCCTAGGTATCTACCCAAAGAACACAAAAGCACTAACTTGAAGGGATGTGTGCACCCCTATGTTCTTTGTTTTTTTAAAAAAGATTCATCTTATTTATTTATGCATATAGGAACTGGGGTATAGGGCCTCCCTGGTGGCACAAGGGGTTAAGCACAGCACTGTGAAGCTAGCCACAGCCTCTGCAGCACCAGTTCAATCCCAGGCCAGCCAGGGAGCTATCCCCATGGCACAACAGACCTCTCCTGTCTTACCTACCGCTCCCCTCAGCAGTGTATTTCAGTCAGTCTGTCCCTCAGTTCTTGTATGCATAAATAAATAAATCTTTTTTTTAAAAAAAGAACTGTGGTATAGACCAGAGGTGTGGGGGGAGGGGTGGTGAGATGATTCATCAGAGACAGTGGGGAGAAAAACAGGTGGATCCACTGAAATACTCTACTGAGGGGAGCAGCAGGCAAGACTAGAGAGGTCTGCTGCGCCATGTGGGTCAGCTCCCTGGCAGGGATGGAACTCTTGCTGCAATGGCTGCTGATAGCTTAATAGTGTTGACACTTAACCACTTGAGCCACCAGGCAGGCCCAACTCTCCTATGTTCTTTGGAGCATTATTTCCAAAAGCCAAATTATGGGAACAACCCATATCCAAGTACAGATGAGTGGATTAAGGAGATGTGGTCCATATACACCAAGGAACACTACTTAATCTAAAAGGAATGGTACACACCATTCGTTTATTTCCTTGTTCTGTTTAGTTTTGTCTATGTGGGCAGTGCATATACTATATACTACACAGAGTATACATCAGAGAACAGTAAAAGGGAATATAATTGGGAAGTAGGAAGGAAAA